TTTTGGTTCTTAATGTCAATAATCAGTCAGATTTTGTAATAAAAAAATTATCGATTTGACTTTCATGACGTTAAAATAAAGTTATTTTGATTTTTTCTTGATTTGATGTTTCCCTTGGGATGTGGAACGTCACAATAGCTCAAATAGAACACAGAGTCATAATGATATCATAGGACACGTCGTCATGATTTCATTTGTCATTTACAAGTGAATTTATAAGTGACAAATAAGATCATGATGATATCATTATGACTTCTGTATTCTATTTGATAATGTATATTTTTATCTGTTTTTATTTATTATTAAATCTAGCTTATTTTATTATTGAAATTTAGTCTTTTGTGTTGAAGTTCGAGTTTGTTTAATTTCTTTCCTTATATAAAAACGCTCTCATATTAAATTTAATTATATAAAAACAAAATTCCAGGCTGATTATAAGAACGAGACTGTTTCTTCTTTTTGAACTAAAGATTCAAAATGTCTATAGATCGAAAATTATATTTTGTATATAAATTACAGATTAAACTAATATTTATATATTTCTGTATATAAATGTTGTACATATATTATAAGTACATATATTATATATGTAATATATATTTAAAATAATGATTATATCTCCATTTGAAGTTTTTAAATTATATTATATTAATATAAAGGATATGAAATTCTTTTGAGGTTTAATGTGTGTTATTTTGTCAAAACTATTCATAAAGTGGACTTTCGAAAAAGAAAAGGAAGAATATCATAAGTGTAACGTGACAATTAAACCTTTTTTAAGAGAACGACATAGTAATCTTCTTAATTTGACAGACAAATTATTACGTGCGTCGGTATCCTCTAAAGTCTAATTGTAAGATTACTCTGTATCCGGTATTGCGTGAATTTTCATTGATGTACGATTAATCTGTTAACACGGATGTAACACGCCATAATAATAAGGAAATTAAAATCTTCGTTTCTCTCGATAACATCTAGACATGCTCCTGCATCACTATTTGTGGCCACGTATTTTTATACCCTGTGTTTTCCCCAATTATGATTGTACTTTATCATTCAGGATATCGGTATGTAGAAGAGAGACATTATAACACACATACAATCTAAAAGTACTTACACACGATTGCGGATATTGTCATTATTATTATTCTTATTATTACACAATGAATTGTAATTTCATCTTTTACGTGCGCGCATACTGATCGCATAGTTCTGCGACATTTATATGAAGTTTGTACGCGCATATACAATGCGAAAAGAATTCCAATGTATTTCAATAAATGATTCACCGAAAAGTCAGTGAAGTCCTCTTTGTTATATTGAAATGTATTCCATATATAATTTGCGATACTCTAGTCTAATCGTGGGAGTTATGCATTAATAGAAAATAGGGGCGTGTATGGCATTAATGGAATGGATATGACATAAATTTTTATTGGATTCTTCTAAGAATAGAAATGATTCGAGAGACAAACATTAGCGAAATGAAAATAATCGCGTTTGGAAAAAAATGAATTTAATGATAATTATTTAAAAGAAATTATTGAAGCCGATCAATTAGTTTTAAGAATTCATATTTTTCAACGTTATATTATTTGAATGAGACTTGCAATTGCAATTAACATGTAAACACAATACTGTAATCGGCAATAATTGCAGCATACCTTTGAAGTAATAATTTAAGTAGATAATAATTTCAGTATATCTAATTGTAAGCTGCAACGTACACGCAATTTGTTATTTATGATTATGTTAGCTTTATACATGACATTTCATAAATTGCGTTTCAGACGGAAAATCAATAAATCAGTAAATCATCAATGATCATTTTATCGAGAAGCATTGATTAATAAATGCAAAGCTATTTAGTGACAAAAATTTTGAGACTTCAACGACGAAATGTCTTTAATATACGTAAATACGTAGCATATAATATTAATTTATATTAAGACTACTATTTTAGATAATGTATACTTCATCCCGAAATTTAGGATAGAACTCTATTGATATTTTTATATATACTGTATATGTATAATATGATAAATTTGAAAAATTAAAAAATATACATTTATAAAATATATATATAAATAGATAGCACATAAAAAAAAATAAATATAGTATTCTCTATAGGTTTTAGAGAGATGAAAATTTATCGATTTATTATCAATTGTTAAAATATCTAATTTAAACGTCAAAAGTTTTGAATAAATATCTTTGTTCTTAAAAGGAAAAAGTAAATTTTATTATTTTATATATTATACCAACAAGTATATAAGTCATTTAAAGAGGACTCGGATTCACTTTTTTTTAAACAAAAAATAATACATTTAATGAATATGTTGTATATTAAATTAACATTGATATCTTGATAGAAGATACAGTAAGCGAAAAATACTTCGAGAACTTCTTGTATGAGATTAATGCAAAACGTGCACAGATTCGCAGCATTCGCTCATAGCATGCCATACAGGATGCGTAAACGTGACAAGCATTGAAGTCTCTCTCGGGGAAACTCCTAAAGAAAGATGACGTAGTCTTCTCCGGCTATAATGGACCATCTCAAACCAGTTCTACCGTTTTACTACATCGTATCTACTGTTTCTATTAGTATCTGATCGTTTGTCTGGTAGTAGTAAATAGTAGAAACAATAATTACTCATTGCTCGACAATGTACGAATGTCTTTGGCTGCGCTGCGCTGCTGAGGATGCCACCTTCGCGAATCGCTCGCGGCTGCGTTCGGGATCCGCGGCGTCCCTTTCACTGTTGGGGATATCCTCATTATATATACGAGCTTTCGATCAGGATACTCTTGGCAATGGATCGGCACTCGGTGCCGCAGTGTAAACGAAGCAATCGGTAAAGCAACATTCGCGAGCCGGCCACCACCGAGATTGCTGAGATGTGGATCCGCAGCTTGCAATGTTCTCTGGCGGTGATTTTTGCATGCGCGTTTCTCGCCGGCTCAGGTAGCTTCCCACATTGTAAAATCTATTATAGAGTTTTACATAAATATTTGTTGTGCGTGCGCCCAATCAGGCGACTTTTAAATCAAAATATGATTGCACACGCATTTGTATGAAAAAATTAATTTTTTAAATGCTCATCTATTTATTAAATAAGTGTTTTTTTACTGACAATTTTATCTGTCTCCTTTTTTTTTGCTTTCTACGAACTAGATATAAATAGAAAAATTATCTATTTTTTTATACAAACGATAAATTGAGAGATAAAACGGTTCTAAAAATAAGTAATTTACTTTTGAGCAAATATATTATTAATTAATTAAAAAAAAAACATTATTTTAGAAATTAATAATTATTAATATAGTTACAAAAATATATATAATTTATAATAATTAATGAGACTATAATATAATTTATAATCAGAACTGCTTAGGGAAGCATTTTTTATATTTCATTAAATTTTTAATGATTTTAATTCATTGTAGTCTGTCAAAATTATAATTATAAACTTATATTGTTTTAAATTTCAAGTACACGTGCATGAATAGACAATGAAAGCAATAGCGATGTCTTTAGTGTGTATATTTATTCCTCCTTTGTGTACAACTCAATGAAATCATCTTTATAAATAATATTGGAGGCCACATCTCCTTGGTGCCATTATAGCGTCATAATTACATATATGGTTGTTGGCCTATCTATGGAGGAGTACAATTGTTTTCACGTGTATTGTGTAATATTTTTTGTTACGAATTATTAACAAAAATTTACAATTTTCGTCCAGAAAGTATCGAGATTATTGCAGACAAATGAGAAGTATTCAGTCAATTTTGTTTCTGTGAGAATAAAGTCATATACATATATTCTATTGCGCGCTATATACAAATTTCAACATTTCATACCCGGACCTTTATTCATTATTACAATGATACTCGATTATTCTACGTGAGAATGTTTCGGCGACGTTAATTATAGACTACGTAGAATGAATATTAAGTGCATGAAGTTTATAACTTGACTATTGTAATTTTTAAAACTTTGCATAAATAAAAAAAAAGCGAAGAAACAAAAACGTATATGCTCACATATATCGCAATTTAAACAATGCTAAAAATGATTCTTATGTATTTGTTTTTTTTTTAGATAGCGTATCGGCTGGTGCATACGCCGGTGCATATGCTGGAGCAGGTGTATGTAAAAATTTTTCTCATAATTTCTCATAATTTTTCAGACAACATATTTACTTATAGAACGATTGCCTTTCTCATAAATACTCATAAATACTCATCAAACGTGTATGAGAAAATACGAGAGATGAAATACTTTATATGAGAAAATATAATTTTTTCTATATATTTTGCCATCATTTGTATGATTTTCCAATTTCGTATTTTTTCATATTTTCTCATATAAAGTATTTCATTTCTCATATTTTCTCATATATATGATAACAATTTTTTTCATAATTTTGAAATTTTTTCAAAATGTCTCATAATTTCACATAATTATTGACAAATTGTTAATATAAAAAATTATAAAAAATTTTATGAGAAAAATTTTTACCAGGCATCTGCATTAAGCAGCACCAGTGTACTTGAAGACGCAGAAAATATTTCTGGTGCTCACGATAGACATAAGGGAATTCGTAGCTACGACAGCACCGGTTTTCCCCACGACAACAATGCTAACCGTGGTGTAAAATCTTATGGCACGCCTTCAGGACACGGCGCCAATTATGATCATGGAATAAAAGGCGGAGGTCACGGCTATAATAAGAATGATGATTGCTCTAAATGCAAATGGGAGAACGACGATTACTGGGAGCGGGATGAGCCGGAGGAGGAGGGAGACGAAAACGATGGGGATGAATGCGACGATGGTCAATACAGACCCCATAAAGTGCATCATCATGGTCCTGGTAGAGAACATAAACCAGGATCGCATCCACCTGGTGTACATAAGACTGGACCTACGGGCGTCTACATTGATGAGGGAGGTGGTAGTCCTGGCGGTCCTTTAGGCGGTAGCCCTGGAGGTCCTTTAGGCGGTAGCCCTGGAGGTCCTTTAGGCGGTAGCCCTAGAGGTCCTTTAGGCGGTAGCCCTGGAGGTCCTTTAGGCGGTAGTCCTGGAGGTCCTTTAGGCGGTAGCCCTGGAGGTCCTTTAGGCGGTAGCCCTGGCGGTCCTTTAGGCGGTATCAACTATCCGAGCACAGGATATTCGAGGCCAATCAGTGGCTATGAAACTACTCCAAAACCTGGATCCAGCTGGAATACTCCATCCGCTGATGCGTCAAAACCCGGATACGGTAGCGTAACCGCGAGCGCTTTTGGAACAACACCGAGCTCTTGGCCAGACTGGAACCGAGGGACAACTCCTAGTAGTTTTGGCTCTTCGCCGAAACCCGCTTGGGACAGTGGACACGACAGCAGATTTCCTTCTTCACAGAGACCTGGTGCATCTGTCCCAAACTTCGACGCAACGACAAAACCTGGACAAGGATGGCCTACCAATCAATTCCCGAGCAGTTCTTCCGCGATACCACATGCAGGAAGTGGCATATCTTCTCCAAGTTATGGATATCCGCAGGAAAGTCAGAATAGGCCTTACGGACAACCTGGAACACAAAGTGCGTGTTTGTAATTCAATATTTTTATTGTTCATATTAATATTAGTGCAACTATTACGCAGTAAGGTGAATAAGAAAATGATGCAAAATATAATAATTAATTATATTGAACGGATACATTAGAAACGGTGAAATATCTGTCAACATAAATTTTTTTTAAATGTTAATATAAATAATGCTTCTACTTGTACAGGCACATATGCTGGCGCTTATGCTGGAGCAAGCGTAACATCTGGTGTTGGAAGCCCTTATGGAGCAACCTCTAGCTTTGGAAGAAAAGATCATCCATTTGATCTCCATAAGCCAACAAATACCCAGGCATCACAAGGACCATATGGTAGAACAGATCAAGCACCCTTTAGCCCTGATAGTAACTATTATGGCCTAGGGGGTTATAACAAACCCAGACCTGGTTCTTATAGTACGCCCACAACTATAATAAATACTATCGGAACTACTAAAGGACCATATGAAGGTATCGATTCACCTAAAACTGTTCCTGGACCCCAAACTGATCCATTTGCTCCTAGAAAATCACCAGGATCACCAAGCGGTGCTTATGAACATCCGGGTGTCACAAAACCGAGTTATGGAAGTACTACTTCCTGGTTAGGTCAGACTGGAAGTAGTCCTTGGCATGGTACAGGTACTACTCCTCATATTGGATTTCCAACGTTAAATACTGGATTTGGAACAACTAAAACTCCACTTAGTCACGTTAGCACCCCAAGTTCTACGTTATCTGCTCCATACGACAGAACAAGACCGAAACAACCTAACTTTAATATTGCGAGTAGTAGCGCAATTGCAAGTGCTGGTGCAAGTGCGTTTGGAACATCTCCTGGTATATACAACACTCCCAGCATAACTGGGACTACTTCATCGTATGGTACAACACCAGCGTACAGAGGAAGTTCAAGTTATACTCCCGGAGTCAAAGGTTCTATCGGAAGTACTAAACCTGCTTATGGAACTGTTCCCCATACATATCCTAATATTGACAGTGGAACCTGGCCTGGAGGACAGCCCGGTAGTGGCACTGGACCTTGGCCTAGTAGAAAACCTGGAGATGGAAGTGGAATTACGCCTGGTAGGTATTCTCCAGGTATTTTGCCTGCCAAGCAACCTCAAGGAAGTGGAACGTGGCCTTCCGGACAACCAACAAGTGGAAGTGGGACTTGGCCTAGTAGTAAGCAACCTGTAGATGGAAGCGGGGCATGGCCAGGCCAGGTACAATCTGGACCAGAAAGTGGACCTGGATGCGGTCTAGGTGGAAATTGTGGAGGTGCCACTGGTTTGCAAGGAGGTAGTAATTGTGGAGGATGTTGTGGGAATTATAATTGCAACAGCGGTTGTAGTGGAAGAGATAATGTACCAGGACAGGGATTGTGTGGTGGAGTAATAGGTCCTAGTGGTGTTAATAAAACATATTATCCCGCTGGAACTGGCGATGGAAATGTTCCAAATATTGGAGCAGCATATGGACCGGATTCACCTCATAATATCGGAGCTGGTACTAGGCCAGTTTATCCTGGAACGCAAGGTAAGGAAAATGAGAGAAAAATAATATTTATAAATTGATTAAATATTTAACTGTTTAGACAGCTAACGTTATTTTACGCATTACGTAAATGATTAAATATTTTAATATTTATCTTTTAAATAATACGTCAAATAATACAAGAAATATCACATATTAGCTTTCATAGTTATAAATATGATTAAAGCTAAATTTTAATTTTGATTTTTATTAAAGGTGCAAGTATAACACCGGAAAGTCCTGTGTCATGGAATTCAGCAAATCCATTCTTATTTGGAGCTGGAAGTATGTGCATTAATAATTGAAAATTTTTAATGAATCTTTACCATTTTTATAAATTACATTTTTCACTTTTATGGTAAAACAATAGTAGTTTATAACTGAAAAAAATATAAGAAAATTTTTTGTAACAATAAATTTATGTTTATAGGAGCAATTCATTACATAAAATAATATATTTAGAGTTCATCACATGTAAATTATATGAAATATGATATATGTATATACATACATTTATTATATGAAATACATATTATGTGATTAAAAAAATTCTCAAATATTACGATATTAATTTCTTGAAATTTCAATAATAAATTAAATTTTTTTGATCTGTAAAAACATATATTAACAGTGTGTGAAAATACATATAAATGTTAGTTGTATTTTAATTCACTGTTTAGGAACTACTCCAAGCAGTATTTCAAATCCTTGGATTGAAAATGCAAATAATAAACCAATTGGTCCAGGAAATCCTTTTCTCGATTCAAGTTGGACTCGTCCTAAGCCTGGATATAGCAACTCATATAATGATAGAAATGTGATTCCTCATGAAGGAAACACAAAGCCTGGTGATCAAAGAAATCTTTTCCTGAATAATGACAGAAGAGGAGATAACAGTGCTAATCCTAACGAAGGTGTAAATCCGCTTGAAGAAAAGATACCAAAAGGATATAATCCTTTCCTTACACCTTTGATAGATGGAAGTGGCGGTTCAGATAGACCGTTACACGGTAAATATCCAGATAGATCAGGAACACCAGGAAGTTTTCCTGGTTCAGGAACATCAGGAAATTATCCTGGATCGGGAACAGCAGGAAATTATCCTGCCTCAGGAACACAAGGAAATTATCCTGGCTCAGGGACACCAGGAAATTATCCTGGATCGGAAACACCAGGAAATTATCTCGGTTCTGGAACACCAGGAAATTATCCTGGATCGGGAGCACCAGGAAATTATCCTGGATCGGGAGCACCAGGAAGTTTCCCTAGCTCGAGAACACCAGGAAATTACCCTGGATCGGGAACACCAGAAAATTATCCCGGATCAAGAACACCAGGAAATTATCCTGGATCAGGAACACCAGGAAGTTATCCTGGATCGGGAAGCAATCCTCAAGGTCCAGATCCAGTACAATGTAAGCTGGGTCTGTTTGGTTGTGGGGCACCCGGTAGTGGAAGCTACGCAGGTGGCAAACATCCAGGAGGAGCATTCGGCGGAAATGTTGGAACCAGTACTGGAAATCCAGGAAGCGTTGGCAATGTTCCTGGTGGGAATCCCGGAATTGGGGGATTCGCTGTCGGCGCAGATCATCCAGGATCAGGAGGGAATAATTTAGCGTCGTCCGTTAGCGGTGCTCAGGCGCGAGCTTACGCTGGATCTTTCAGTTCTGCTCAAGCTTCCAGCTCCAGTTTTGCCGACTCTTTTCCCGGCGCGCCAGGTTTGTTACTTGCAAAAATGTGTTTTAATAGTGGACATTCGCAAAATATAATTCTGTGAAAGAAATTTGAAAGCGCAATTTATTTTCAATAGCTGGAAACGTCACGTTTTAAAAATAGAAAATATATAATCAATACTATTCTTAAAATCGTTCATGAAAATTATAATTTAGAATACAATATTTTGCAATTATTTAAAAATTAAAAAGTTTTTTCGTATGTTTGCAATAACATAAGATATGTTATTACAAACATTGGATCTCAAAATATGATAACTATGATACATTATGGACACGAACAGTAAAACTTATTGACAATGATAAAATGATATCGATTAAATATGTACTAGAAATTGCGCTTTTTTATTTATATTCAAATTAAGATTATGATCCGAAAATGAACAGGCAAACGAACGACTGTTTAAAATTGGATAACTAGCGTTGCGTTAACAAGCCACACGATCATTAAGATTAGAACGAAGGAGTGTGTGCCGATTGTAAATCAAGTCAACGATGCATTCATAATTCCACGGCATTTATATCCCCGTGATGTCAAGTAGATCATACCGATGGAAGTTTTCTCACGGCTAATATCACGCCTTAGCGAGACATTGTAGCGGTATTTTTTGAAACGAAACGAATATATACGAGATAAAAACGTAATCTCTCTCACAATGGGAAAAATGGCCTCAAGGTCAGCCACGTTTGCATTACGAGGGATTGGAAATACGCGTGTGATTGATGCGTTCCTTCGTACAATGATGCATAAATCAAAGATAGCAGCGTCTTAATTAATAGTAAGCGCCGGTTCCAGGTATCCGTTTCCGTTCTTTGACTACGAAAGCTGTTATATACATATACATACAATTCGTATTGGCCATAATTAATTTACCATATCAGTAATATCTAGTAATGATGTTTTTTTAATGCATTTCTGTCTATTATAAGATAATAGCAAATGTCGGCAGTTTGTAATAATTCAGCTATTTAACAAGATTTGTATATTTTATAATATTTGAAATATTTATAGACAAAAGTTAAATTTAATTTAAATTATATTACGACGAACAAATTTCATCAAAGATAAAATGTTGTCGATTTTATCAGATAATTTTAAACAAGTTTTTACTTATTTTATTTGAGAATATATGACTTAAAAGTTCTTAGTATACTAATATACAAATAAAATGCGAAGACAACAATTGATCTATGCAAAAATCTAAATCTTAAATTTTGTGTTCGCAGGATCCGCCGATAATTTTGGTGGAAATTTGTCTCCTAATGGAGCACAAAATCAAGGCGGACTTAATTCCTGGGCTTCCAGTGGTGCCTCTGCTTTTGCCAGTAGTAGTGCCGGAAGTAAGTTTCCAATAGGATTATTTAAACACGTATTCAGAGAGATGTAATTATTTAATGTAAAAATTTTAGAAAAGAATGTCAAAATATTAAAATGTTATTTTGCAGGCTGGTCAGGAAATCATCCTATCGACGTGAAGGGTTAACCAGTTTAATCGAAAGATAAATATTAAAGTATAATAAATACAGACGATGACATAATTCTGAAATATATTGTAATATATATTTGACGTCTCGTCATTTAATCATAAAATGTTTAACGTCTGTCATGTAAAGCTTCATGTATAAAGAGATTTTATATTTATTTGACGTATCGTTTATTTATTATAACCGATATGAGTAGATAAAATTTTCCCTTTGTACATATCTTATTGTTAGTTAACTGATGAAAGAGTAAATAGATTTCTCAGAATAACGTGTATAATAATGGTTTACGTCACATGTCATCCTTATTATCAGTTATTTCGATAATTGGCAAGGTAATATTTCATTCCATGTTTTTTAACAGACTATATAGAGTTATGACTCTATAGTCCATTAAAAAACGTTAATTTTCAATATTTTTGCTTTATTGTTTATCTTTGCCTTATTGTTATTTTAAGCAAGATAGATTCCATAATTAAGTCCTTAAATCAATATAAATAAAGACTCTTAATTTTCCATGACGGTAATACTTGATCTTATTATCTGAGGGAATGGATGATCAACGTATTAAACACCCAGTATATATTAATGAGCGAGCTATTATCCTTAATATTCTTACGACATAGAAGTAATTACAACTCGCTGAGAAATGTATAAAAGGACGTTTTTAGTTGCATAGATTCAGTCTTTCTTCCGGATCCCACTGTGTTTCTTCAATTTACAAGCATCATGAAGATCATCATATTAATTTCTACTATATTAATATTATTAATTCAACTATCTAACGCGCAGTTGGGTAAGTCTTATTATTATTTATGTAATGAAAATATTCTTTAAAGAGTAATTTTAAATTCTTAGATAAAATGAATAATGAGAGAGACAGGATTGTTTCCAATTTAAGTGTTACGTTATTTATATATCGTTCGAGAATTAACGATCAGCAAAAACTAAAGATATTTATTTAAGTTTTCTAATCTATAAGTGGTTTTATAACAGTAGACTACAATTTATGTAATAATTAAATCTTGTAGAATATTTTTAACAAATTTTGAATTTTATATATAATTTAAAATGGCATGCGTGGTATATTAGGATTCAATTTTGGCTATGGAAATGAAGGATATCCTTACTCCAATTACGATAGACGAGGCTCGAACATGAGGCAACGATCGAGACAACGAGACATGGCTAGGTAAGTTAATGTTTTTTTTAACTAAATTAAGTTAAAGTTAATGGTTTAAAAAATTAATAAAATTAAATTAAAAGTTGAAGGAATAAAAAATTAACTTAATAAAAGTTAAGTTAAGATTAAATTAACTTACGCTTAAAAAAAGTTAATTTTGGAAAAAATTATTTTACTTTAAATAGCAATTACAATATAGATTATTAGGTAAATTAAATTTTTTCATTCACATGTAAAAGTTACTAATATAATTAGAGTCACACCACAAGGCAGTTTTGTCAAAATCTTGCGAGAGAGAAGAGTATATATACATATTTGCATTATCTCTCTTTCTTTAACATTTATCTAACTTTCTTTAACTTCTGAAACGACTGTTCACGCATGTTTACGACTACACCGACTAGATATTTGTTACAAAAAATAAACGTAAAAATTCAGAAAATGAGTGGATATGCATCACTGTTTTATAACAATTCTTCATCAAGGCTCATATTTCATACTTATATTGCTGAAATATAACCTACGTTTATGACACTTAAAATTAGTGTGATTCAAATATAAGCGGGAATTGACAGAACCTAGCGAACCAATAAAAACTGGCCATCGTATGGTGTGACTCTTATTATAGTCTTTAATCATAAAATCGTTGAACTTTTTCTAAATTAATTCTCTAATGTTTAAGATTTTATAAAAAAAATATTAGTCTTAAGAGAAATAGAAACATTTTTAATTTAAAAAAAGTTAATAAATTAAATTTTAAAAATAACTAAATTAAGTTAAATTAATATATTTAAGATTATATAACTACGTTAAGTTAAGAGTTAATAATTTTTGAACTTTTAACGTTTTAACTAGTTCCTACCCGATGCTGCAAGGTCCATATATGCGATAGGTATGTATTGAAATTCAAAAAAGACGAATCGGTGATCTAGGACTACTATAAGATACTCTATATGCGTTTCCACAATAATTCGTATTAAATTGTAATATGTCATATTAAATAATATTTATAAGTATAAAAAAGACAGAGAGATTATGTGAATATTTTTTCTTTGCACTATTGTTACATTATATTATAGTTACACTATAGTATTTTGTCCTAATAGGAGTAAAAATATACTAAAGAAAGATACTATATATATATATATATATATGTATATTATACTGCCAAGGAAAAAAAAATTTTTTTTTAATCGGCCACTTAGCTCAAAAGCTAAGCTTCCATTTCATGCCAAAAGAACATCTACATAAATTTTAATAAAAAATATTAAGATTTAGAGGTCGCTAGTAAACGATTTTGAAATCAAAGTTTCTAAATCTTAATATTTTTTGATAAAAGTTTAGGGATGTTCTTTTGGCATGAAATGGAAGCTTTTGAACTAAGTGCCGATTAAAAAAAAATTTTTTTTTCTTGGCAGTCTAATGTATATACATATAAAGTTTCATTCATGTGTAATAGATTGATATAGATACATTTTGATATCGTTAATACTGAAAAAAATGTTGTTTTTGTTCGTGAATTAATAAACAACTATAAATTTTGACTATAAAGTTTTTATTTTATATGAATATATTATTATGAATACATGCAAATTAATTTTACTAATCTATAAATGTATAGAACGAGAAATTTTTGGGATATTTTACAATCTGTTAAATGCTTCCAAAAAATTGTTTATTTTACATAGTGCAAGCAAAAAATCGCGATCTCTCATTTTTAATTTATGTGGCTGCAAAAATAATTTTAATTAACAGCAACAAAAATAGCTTCATGTCATATTTCGTTCCAATGATAAACTTTTATTTCAATGATAAATAATATACTTTTTACAGAAAATAATTAAAAAAAATTAATTTTTGTGAAATTCTTTGCCCAGAAACTTGGTTATTTATCTTATGTGGTATATTTGCAAATATCGTTCGTTTATAAATTGTATTATTACAGATAATGAAAATATAGCATGCGAATGCAGTTTAAGCAATAAATTTTCGAAAATATATTGAATGTTGTAAATTACAATTAGTTAACTATACATGTTTCTTAAATAGCAGACACTAATCATATAGCGTTATTCCTGATTAAGAATTGAGTCGAAAAGTCCTCTACCATTTTGCAATTTTCGCAATGATTGAAATATTAATTTCTAAAGATTGTCGAATCACATAATGCTATTCCTGATCAAAAATTGAATTGAAAAGTTCTCTACCATTTTGCAATTTTTATAATAGTTAATGATTGGTCAGCCGGATGGATACGCGCTTATTCGGCAATTTTTAGAAATTAATATTTTGTCATTCATTGCGAAAATTGCGTGATTGTAAGACTTTTCGACCCAATTTTTAATCAGGAATGGGGCTACATGATTATTGTCCGTTATTTAAGAAACATCCTAAATACGTGATAATTTCAATATAATTAAAAAATTTTTAATTATTTTTATAATATTGTTTCAGATGTGTCCTTCTAATTCTCAACTACCTGGAAACCCGAAATTCATTTAATATAATATGGTTCTTTTTGTGGGTTAAATAAATATCTATATCTCTCTATGTGAAATATTTTTTGTGTTCTTATGTTTCTTGTGGGTTAAATAAATATGTATATCTCTCTACGTGAAATATTTTTTGTGTTCTTATCTCATCTGACAACAATGATTGTTTTTCTATCATATATATACATATATATTTGTTAAAATAATTATCCTGCAATTTAATTCAATTATGAGCTTTCAACTAATAATATCTAATTATTATAGTTTTATTATAATTTCTTATTATTATATTTTGTCTTTTTCAAATTAAAAAGAGACTTCACGGTCACTCTAATATCTTTGTAGTATTTATGTGAACATTTGTTTTGAGTTTTTAATTTCCATTTGCCTATCTTATTTGTTTTTTTACTTTTTTTTAAAAGTATTTCGTATCTCTTGAATGTTAAATTTCATAGTTTGTAGATATAATGTTTTCGCAATGTATTAGTTCTCAGATAGCATATATTAAATACAATGGATTTTAAACATTTTAGCGATTTTACTTATTTTTCAGGTAGGATTATTATTAAGTGACTTATTGTTAGCAATTTACTTAGAAATTAATTTATTATTTGTCCATACACAGGAAAAAATACGACTTTATCAGACCTATTGGCATATAAAACAGATATAGGTGTAATCATGGAAATATGCTATACAACTACAAACATACGGTGCTCAATGTAAAGAAACAGAAAGCCGTAATAGACTAGATCCGTGTAGTTAGGATATGTGATTTGAGGACAGGTGACTATTTAATGCTGTTTTATGGGCGAATTTTTTCATACAAATAAGACATTCGTGAGTTTTTTCGTTAACGTGCACCAATAAGTGCTTTTTCAACGCTGCTTTATCTTTGCATATTTTTTGACAAGTACTACATTCAAATGGTCTCTCACCGGCGTGAATCAGGATGTGGCTGTTTAACGTGGTCTTCTGCGTGAAAGCTTTGTGACACACATAACATTCGTACGGTCTGTCACCGGTGTGACTTAACATATGTTTCTTCAACGATGCCTTTTCCTTGAATGTCTTCTGGCAGATGTGACACGCGTGTCTCTTATCGCCTGTATGTATGATCATGTGCGAGTTTAATCGCGTCTTCTCCCTGAACGCCATGTCGCACATATTGCACGCAAACGGTTTCTCACCGGTGTGTATTAGAGTATGCCGATTCAGATCCGATTTCCTGGTGAAGATTTTGTCGCAAACCTTGCAATCGTATTGACCACCAGTGTGTAATAACATGTGACTGTTTAAATCCGATTTTCTTGCGCATGCCTTGTGACAGATGTGACACTCGTGCGGTTTCTCGCCCGTGTGGACCAACATATGGGAATTCAATTTGGCCTTTTCTCGAAAAGTCATTAAGCACTCTTTACACTCGTATGGTCTCTCACCAGTGTGAACCATAGTATGCCTAATTAA